GATGTTGTGTATTATGACAATAGATCTGTAATTTACATTACCCAAAATTTAATTGTTCATAAAAGGACAAAACACATCAAGCTTGATTGTCATGTTTGAACGATTCATCTTCTTCAAGTTTCATCATTGTCTCAACTTACTAATGTTTTTACTAAAACTCTGCCTGTTGTATCTTTTAATGCTATTTTATCTAAGTTTGTCTTATATAACATACATAGTCCAACTTGAAAGGAGTATCACACTATATATAGAAATTTATTTTGTTAGCAGGTGATTAGTGATTTCTTAGCTTTCCAACATATACTATAAATACCTTTGTATTGAATCATTCAAAAGTGAACATTATTAAAATATAACAAAAAATAAAAATTGACATGACTTTTTTCCTCAATCAAGAACTTGTTTGACAAAGATAATTAGAGATTAAATATACTAATAAGATCAATTAAGATCATAATAGCTAGTAAATATTGTTTGAATTTAAGTTTTTAATTTATAGAAATCATATTTTGGAATATCATATTAACTAGCCATGGTTCTAGTGAATTAGTTTGGCATATGATTTTTCATAATTCTAGAAAATTAATTACTAGCTAGTGTGTACATATGTACAATCTGCATCATCATTTTTCTATTTTTCTTTTGGCAAAAAGTCTGATTAACAAAGAATAATATTTACAAAGAGAGAGACTGGATATATTTTAATTAATAATAAATTATTTTATTAATGTATAATAAGCTTACATGTTTGCATTTGTATTTTTAAGTAGAATCATCATATTATACATTAGCGAACACTTCTATAATTAAATGATAACTCAACAGAGTAAGCATATAATCAAAAGTTTATAAACTAAAATTACACAATTAAAAATTAAAAGACAAAAATTGAATAAACATAAAAATTAGAAAATTAAAAAATGCAATTAAAGTATTATTTTATTATTATGTCACAAAGTTTATTTACTAATTTAAACAAGAAAATAGATCAAATTATGTCTTTGATGTTTCACTCATAATAAATCATTTAATAAATATATAATAAACTTATATGTTAGTATGTGTATTTTCCAAGTAGATTTCAGCAAACACTTTTACAATTAAATGATAACTCAACAAGTCAACATAATCAAAAGTCTGAAAACTAAAATTATATAATTAAAAATTATGAGACTAAAACCAAATAAAAATTAGATAATTAAAAATAGCAATTAAACCGTTATTTTATTATTATGGCATCGAGATCACTGCCTAATTTAAATGAAGAAAAGGATATAAATATTAAAAGAGTGATCGAGCATGTATATGCTGCATGATCTTATAGGATAAAGCTAAGAAACAAAGAAAGAAGACAAGCAAAATTATTAACATTCAAAGGTCAAATGCAGGCTACAGACATTGTTCATGTTCATGCACCTATCTTAATCCCTATTGTCAAACGGGAAAGATACACAAACATAATCAAGAAAATATAAAGACATGATCATATCTCACCTTTATATTAGCGTAGTTGAGATTATTAGATGATCATCAATTTTGTATTCTCCAATAAATCTAGTTAACATTCTAATCAGTCTTTGTTTTATTCTATTACTTAATTCGGTGAAGCATCATCAGCAGCCACACGGTTGAGAACCAATTATGATACGGGTGCTAATAATATGTATGCTGGTGTATACGTGCACTTGGCTTTTCGTTTTCTACGTTTTCTTACATTACTTCTTCAATCTCCTCCAAATATACGTGTGGAACTTTTCAACCGCAGACTTGTTAGCCCTCATGAAATGTCCTCTTCAATTATATGGGGCTGCAACATCAAACGCCACTTTAATCAGTCCAGTCCATGTCCTAGTGACCCCTCAACGGAATCTTCTTTGTTTTTATACAAACTACAAAAATATAGCAGAAAATATATTTTATAATACAATATTTTAAGAGCCTAATTAAATTTATTTAAACCTTTTTTATACCTCAAAGGAGATTGTTTATTGTTTATCTTCCAAAGCTTGTATATGTGGATTATGCAGCAGATCCTTTCAGTAATAGTTGAGTCTAAAGGCCAGAATTTACAATTAAATGAAATTGGTAAGAGCTTCAAGAATATTCAGCAATTATAGAGATTGCTCCTATATTTTAACTGTAATATACCAGCATTGGAATTTTATATAAATAGCGCACACCACATCATTAATTCAGTAACACCTTTTCATACACTATTATTCTATTAAAATATATACTGATATGAGCATTAATTGGTATACTTTTCGATTTATTTTCTACGGCAATGGAACATTATGAATAATACTTATTAGAGTTCCATATATTTTATGTTTTAATAAAATTGTGTATCTGATAAAAAGAAAAAGAAAAAAACATGCATAACAGCATCATCAATCACGGGCAATATGTAAAATAATTCAGATTACGCAATGATCCAATTATATCAAATGATAAAATATTGCAACGATAATGGTTCCTCGTCGTCCACCTCATATACCTGCTGCCGACGCTGTGGGACCATTGTTTGCATATTGTTGAGAGAGAATTTAAGCAAGGGAAATAAAATTAAAAACCCTAGGATTCTAAGACTAATAAGATACTTATAAAATAGCTGTTCTTTAATTTACAATTAAACCTCTAGTCCTAATCAAGCTATGGTCAATTTAAGCACAAGAGAACTAAAATTTACGTTTAAGACCTCTAATATTTATGAATAATTATAAAAAATATTAATTATTTATAGTTATTACTTTAAAAATAAATATTATTAATTAACATATAAATAATATTAAATGTAAATATTTTTTAAATATGTTCATCATTTTATTATGATGCATTTTTTTAAACCTATGTTTTAAGATTACAAGGCACCCACAACCCCTTGATCTTGTTGTGTTTGAATAAAAATTTTAAAAATTCTAAAAAATATGAGTAATAATAATGAAAGCTCAGAATGAAAGTCAAATATGAGAAAAGTAGTAAATAATAAATAAAAAAGTTAAGCATAAAGATTTTTAAAATTCTATCTAAAAATAAATCATTTGAAATTTTATTAGACATAAAAATTATTTAGTTAAAATTTTATGGTAATTTTAAAAAATATTAATTATCTAAATAAATGAATTATAGTAATTTTAAAATATATTATCCTAGCACAAAAGGATATGACATTATACTAAGGAGTTGGCTAAACTTGGCCATATAAAATGATTCACTGAGTAATTTAATTTGTAGAGATAAGTTTTAAGTACAAATAATAGCTAGCTATATGGATTCCAAAAGAATCAATATGAAAATCACAAAATAATAATGGAAGATAAAAAAGTGACGGGTGAAAGTGTTTATTACAAAAAGGGAAAAGATAAAAAAAGGAAAAGCAAGTAATAAATCTATAATCGAAAATATAAGTTATATATATACTTTATTCTTGTCCATAGTATGCTTTAAAATATCGAGGAGTTGCTATGTTATGGTTGACCCCTTCCAAGCAAACTCATTGCGCTAACAAATTAAAATGAAAACGTTCTTCACCTGTCATCGTACATTGTTTTTTTATTAACAATAGAGCATGTATACAACATTTATATTGTTCTTCACCACCATGCCATGGAGCATGTTTATTTGTTTACCATCCCTGCTCTGATAAGTCTTCACGCATTAACTTTTTTTCCTGTTTCTGTTAGTGATTTTTATTTCATTTTTTTAATAAGCAGCAAATAAATTAATTAATGAAATCCGAGTAGGGTACTAAAACACAATACAAGATAAACATATTGATATTGTGGCTTCTTTTCCGAAATATGGTAAATTTAAAACAAATTATCAAAATAGAGTATTTATAAAACATTTTCTTAATATAGAGTAATTTTTGCTAGGTCATATCGAGTGTCATCTTTTATATAGCTGACATTTATTTTTTTTAATAATAAAATATTGAGTATCGTTCGACATTCATTTTTTAATAATAAAAAAATAAGTATCGTTCATAAACAATCCACCACATTCGACCTGTCTCCACTGACATTATTGATGGATGAGCAATAGCATTTTCATTAACAGGATAAGGATTTGAACAATGAATATCAAGAATATGACCTCCATAAGTGTTGTGGATGCAGGATTCAGTCATGGAAAAGGAAAAGATAACATTCAATTATACTGACCCAAGAAGTTTTAGCACAAGGTTAATCAAAGAATAGAGATAAGCTGCAGTTTAATTCATAATATTATTTTTTTAATAATAAAAAATGAGTGTTGATATATATACGGATGACACTTAATTTTTTATTATCAAAAACTGAATATTAACTTTTATATAACTGATATTTAATATTTTATTATTAAAAAAATAAATGTCAGTTATATAAAGGACGATACTCAATATTTGACCAAAATCACTTAGATTGAGAAAATGTTTTATAAACACCTATTTTAGTAATTTATTTTTAAATTTACCATATTTTAGAGAGAAAAAAAAGCCTGATATTGTGCAGCAACGTTTCACAAAATTACAAAGTAAAGTACATTCCGTGTGACTTCAAAAAAGAATCTCATCCCCTATTGTAAAACAATGCACTGCCAAAAGTCTTGTATCAGAACTACAAGTCAAGGATGCATAATAAGAAACCAGAATATATACACTGAGGTAATCTTTAGTATCTTGCTACAAACTGATCAATTCTATTTTCACCTTGTAAGTACATCATAAAGTTTAAGAAAGGGAAACTATATATTCATTTTAAATCAATATATTGAGTAGTTTAATTTTATTAAAGTATATGTAAGAGGTTAAATATAATATAATTAGTGTGATAGAAAAAATTAATAATGTTCAGGTGGGGCAAACGATCTTATCAACATCCATGATTTTGTCTAGCAAAATCTAGAAGTTCTTCTTTTATGGGACCCTTTAAGATTTTCTGTCCCTAAACTTCTCTATATATATAACATCTTGTCCACACTCCCTTAAGACTTCCTTCCATCGGTTGAAGCCTTTCTTTGTTCATTTCCATGTCCAGTTAGCTATACTTTAATCAAGTGGGTTTTTCCAAATTTAAGCAATTCTTAGCCCCTAAGCCTAATCACATTGACTCATTCTTTCACTTGAAGAAATGAAGGACAACGGTAGGAGGCATGGTGCAATGTCACCATGCGCAGCATGCAAACTTTTACGAAGGAGATGTGCACAGGATTGTGTGTTTGCTCCTTATTTCCCTGCAGATGAGCCCCAGAAGTTCGCCAGTGTCCACAAGGTTTTTGGGGCTAGCAATGTCAACAAAATGTTACAGGTTCAATTTTAATATCCTTATAATACTGTTCATGATTTTTTTTATTGCTGTTGTCATTTATCATATAATAAAATACTATAAAGTGAATTTTCTGATCGTTTTGTTTAGATAAAAGTAGGCAATTAGTTGCCTTTGGATTTTTCTTAACCTTTACAGATTCTCAAATTTTTTAGGATATGGTAGGTTTTAATTTTTAAAGGATATTTCTGTGTATTATTTACGGTAGAAAAGGATGGCTAACTTAATTGCATAAAATGAACTGATTGGTAAAGAAGAAATTAAACAACCGCTACATTGATTTCAAACTGCAAAACATTGATCAGTACTGTATCCGTTGAAATCAAGTATAAAACTTTGATACTTACACTATTTAATTTTTTTTTTATAAAATATGAGACTTTTTATAATATATATTAAAATTTATATAATTTAAATATTTGTAAATATATTATCAAAATTTTGATCCTTTATTATAGATTAAAACGTGTCTGATCACAATTAACATAACATACACACAACCATTATAACATTTAAAGTTTTAATGTCAACATTTTTAAAATTGTGTCCGACGTATAGCCAATGTTGTTAACATATAAAGGGATTAAATCAAGTTTTATTTATCTAATGTTTAAAAATTATTACCATTTATTATATTTAGACAAAAGTTTTACGTAAAATTGTGTATTAGTTTGGGTGACCGTTGTAGGCATTGATTAAAACTTAATTACGTAAAATGAACGGATCGAGAATGAAACTCAACACTGAACTGATCATAATGTATACAATTAATACTATATTCAATATTTCATATAGTTATTTAGCTTAATTTAATTTTTAATCTTCATAGTTAGTGTACGCAAGATTTTTATTTTTTTTAATTTTAATTGCTCATATTTAACTATATTAATATTTTAATCATTCAAATTAAGTCTCTTACTTCAGTTTTTTATAATTAATAAAAATGTAACAAATATATAATCTACTATTGATTTATAAAAAATGAAAAAAAAGTATATAAAGTAATTAAATAAAAATAAAAAGATTTTATCATATTTTAGTTTATATATTTGATTTTGTATTTTATTTAAATATTATTTTACTCATTTATTATATTTTGTTAATTATTAGATGAAATCTTGAGTAAATGACTTAATTTAAATAGTTAAGAAATTATAATAGTTAAATATAAGCAAATAAACTTTTAAAAAAAACTAAAATACACATAAATTATTGTCACCCTGATCAAGGCTTCTTATTATTTTTTTATTAGTTCCTTCCATCACGTGTTAATTTTTCATATATAGCTCTACATTATTCTATTTGGTGTTGAAAGTAGTCATCCAACAAAGGTGTAAAATGATGCTTTATCCGTTTATTTTTTTTTACCTCACATAATTTTTCTACCGTTATAGTGGTTACTTATGGTTGAAGACCGCACGGTCCCCAACCTAAACTTAACTACTTAGTCCTCATTCTTCTTTATTAAAGTAAAGTTAGGTACAGCTTACTAGCAATCCTTCATATGACTCCTTAGCACATATAAAGAGGACAAAGGATCAAGTGTGTGCAAATTAGCTTTACAAACTTGGAAGCTAAACCCATAAATTATATACATTAATTACTATTGGGTATGTGTTGCAATAATTTGCTTAGCAATATTTTAGAAAGAAAGGACTGATTATAATGTTCATCTTTTCTCTCGTCTTTAAATTCATGGGTTACATTGATAGAGACAGCTTATATATGTCCGAAAGTGATGTTGATTCCCCACATTAGGATATTTAATTTCATCTTGTAAATAAATTAATCATGCATGAAAAACATTTAATATGTATGCATGACACCTTGATGACATAGTAGCATCTTTTTCTTTTCTGGGGAAACATATATTGGTAAATTAGTCTACGAAGGTAACGCTTTGATAGATAATATTATAATAGGATTGGATGTAATATATAAATTATGTATTATGTTTGATACATAATTAAAAATACAAGCAGTAAATTAAAAACATAGGCTACGTTTGAAAGACATGGCACACTCATAATGAATGAACGAAGGGGTACTCTTCGAAAATAGGGTAAGGGAGACACACTGGCAATTTTTCCTAATATTTCAAGCTTTGCTTTGGGCAGTGGTGAGTGTCATAATGATTCAGAAGTTGTAATTCTTATATCTATTTTGTACCTAAAAGAATATTTTGTACTTAAGGTTAATGGTCGGAAACTCTACAGTCTATAGGATAAACATTATCCTAAATTTCCTGTATGCATACAAGAAAAATAATTGCTGGGTTAACTTTTCAGTCATGATATATAGAATCAAGGTTAAATCTTTCAGACATGTTATGATGTGTTTGTGCATTATTGTTCTAGTCCATTGCATCCCTGCTTAAAGCAAGCCAAGTTATTATTATGATTTTAATTTATACTATTTATATATTCGCTCAAGTCAACTACATGTTTTATTTTCCGCTCTAAACCACCAACTTCAAAATGCACTTTATTACATATGGAACTCTTTTTTGACTAAGCAAGAAAAAACAAATGAGAATTTCATCATATCACTCACTCCTAATTCAAAAAGCCAATCTACATATGCTACTAGGTCAACGTCTCAGTGGCTCACCTGAAGATCCTTTTTAATTTGTACTGAAGTTACGAGTGATTTTACCTTTACACATTCACATTCACACCCATCATGATATAACTCACTAAAACTTAAAAGCAACTTTTTTTGAACATTCGATATTCCACATTCTTAATCTATGTTTCATGTTTGCGGATTTTGAATATAAGCCCAGTTCAATATTAGTGAAAAGTGTAAACATAAAGTTTGAATCGGCTGTTTAACTAAAATGTTTTAAGCAATTAAGAGTAAACCTCTTATTTATATATATCTTTTAATTTGTTTAATTGACCAATGTGAAATTCTATTATCTTAGTATTCCTCCTCGATCAAGTTGAATTAGCTTATACCTAGTTGTGATTTATATTTTTATTATTATTTAGACATGTGCTTTTTTTTTTCTTGAATTTATTTATGCTACAAGTCTAATTATATTAATTGGACCTTTAATTTTATTTTTATTTAGAATTTGATATTATATTAGAAACTTCTTTAATATATTAAGATTTTAAATATGGGCTCAATCATAGAGCTTATTAGAAAGTTTTAGCGTTTTATAAAATATAATCTCTATTTAATTTATTTTAGTGAGTTATATAGATACACTTATTGAAATAGTTTTCTTTAACTTATTATAACAATTTTCAAACTCAAGCATATGAAAAAAATCATAAAATATAATCATTTTAAATGAATATAAATTATTGTTTATGTAAACATGCCATAACATTAGATTGCTCTCTAATGAGTTATGATCAAAATTGGTAGGAATTGCCAGAGAACCAACGAAGCGATGCAGTTAGCTCAATGGTATATGAAGCAAATGCAAGGATGAGGGATCCTGTGTATGGATGTGTGGGAGCCATATCCTCTCTTCAGCAACAGGTTGATGCGTTACAAAGCCAATTGGCACTTACACAAGCAGAGGTTGTGCACATGAGAATGCGCCAAGTGTCACCTTCATCTGATCAGCACAAACTGGTGCCTGCAACCTCCAATTCATCCTCAGAGAATTTATCCCCTACAAGCAGGCTCACCAAGTCCCTTTTCGCCATGGACATGGTCGTTGATCAAGCAAGCATGGGAGAGTCCTTGTGGTCATGTTAGCTTAATCGGTTTCATATTATTGGTGTGTATAAGAGGGCATCTAAGCTTTATTTATTTTCTTCTTATTATTGCTATCATGGGCTTAGCTTACTTTATTGCCTATAAGCCACACATGAGTCATGCACCATAATACAAAGCTGGAGCTTCATGTGCCATCTTCTTTACTACAATAAATTAGAACTTTCTTAACAACTGTTTGAGACATCTTAAAATATACTTTTCATAGTTGACTGATAAATAGAGGGTTTATTCAGAAACATTTACTTTTTTTAGTATTAGTTAAAATAAGCAATAGTTAAGAAAGAGTAACAATTACAAAAAGAAAATAAAGCATAACGATCTTCCTTGATAGTTCATTGTATAAACTGTTAAGAAAGATCACAATTTTTCTTAGCAGTTAAAAAAAAGAACAACTAAAAAAAAGTATAAAAAAAACCACTAAGAAAAGGTTATTCTTAGCCATTCTTATTGTTATCCATTAAGAAAACCTACATATATATTGCTTCTCTTTTCTTAATTACCATTGACGAAACCCCTACATACATATTCTGTTTTGTCTTTTGCCCTTGAGGAAGCCATTTTCACTCTTATTCTGCCTTCCTCACTGTCTCATTCTCGCTAGCTATCCTAACCCTCATTCTTTCTCAAAGTTGTCAAAACTACATTGACGTCATCAAAACCTTGCTTTCTACTATTATTCTTGTTTGATTTTGTTAAAGCTCATCATGTCTATGTTGATGTCATATGTGAACTCCTAATTTTTTCACGATCATTAAAAAACTATAAATAATAATAATAATAATGTAATATTTAGTACCATTCTTTTCAATAGTCTTTAAAATACTCAAGCATATAATAAATATCCAAAAACAACAGTGGTTTAATTTTTGTCTTTTAAAAATAAATATAAAAGAATAAAAAATAAAAAAGAGAAATTTGGGCTAGTATCACTTAAGATCTTATTTGGCAAGTTCAAATTTTCTTCCATCCGACTAATACTGCAAATCTTGGGTAAAATCAAGAATGAATCTTCTTCATATTAGAGAAGAAGAAAAAAGACATTTTTTCATAAATGTAATTTGATTGAAAACTTTTTCTTTCCTTATTTCCTTCTAACTCAATTAATTAATGTAGTAGAAAAGAACCGAATTTCGAAGTCAAAAAAGGCAAGGGCGAAAAATAAATAAAGAATGACCATTTGAAGAGGCCATGATTGCAGCAAGAATCGTGAGTTCCCGGAAATGAACCTTTCTTTAGATGCCAATTTGTTGGAATTAGAACACACACTTACAACTTACACAGAAGTAAGAATGAATAAGAAGAAAGAAGTTCTGCAGAGAATGTGTAGCATGAGAAAAAAACGTATGTGTTATCATACAAACAACTGAAAACAACACCAATACTACAGTAAAAATTTAAAATAATTTTATTTATACAAAATGCAAAAATTATTTTTAAAAAAAAAAAAAATTTAATAATGACTACTTAGTTTGGTCTTCAACTATACGGAATATCATCTAACAGAATATTTAATTGGATTGTCCATCGTTACAGGCCTACTACGAGCCACCCTTTAATGTTCATATGTCACTGTTGATGCCTATGCCAACCAAACCAAGCTTGGCTGCAACCAATTGGGTATGTTTCCATTTGACTCAACTCAATTAATTTGGATTATTTTAACAAAGTTTGTCCTCGAAGTAGACCCATCTCATATTTTCTTTATAGATAATGTTGCAATGGACTGGCTCCATATGCTTTCAACTTTTGTGACTTGCCATGTTTACCCCTTGTTTTTGCCAATCTATTGTCCTTACTTTGAATTGCTTTTCTAAATAAAGATAGTATCACTATTACTGTGAAGGCATTTTAAGTGAGAGAAATTTATTATTATGAGATATGAGAGTATTAACAATAGTTATTGAATTAAAATAAAGAGTTTAAATTTGATGTTATTACTTTACTATTTACTCTATTTTTTTCTTGTCAATGATTATTATTAATGTCTCTTATCTTTCACTTGAAATGTCTCTTTTATTAGTTTGATATAAAATGTGAAAAAAATATAAAATAAAAGTTATTGTTAGATATGAACAGTAGGCAATCAAGTAGGCCTATAACATATGGACATTGCAAGATGGCTCTAGGCATGTGTTAGATGAACAATCCAATTAATATGTTTAGCATCGTGTATAAATTAAATTATTTTAATTTTTTGTTATTTTATATAAGTTTTGCATGTATAGATGAAATTACATGTGTCATGATTTTTTGAGTTTTGTCTTTTTAATAAATTAAATTATTCAATAAACAATAAGTTTTGTATTTATAAAATGGGAAGCTAGTGATGACATGAGCTTAAAAAAATATTTTTTGTCGTGATACATTAAAATAAAAAAAACATTATTTTATATATATTTTTTACTTTCTTTTCCTCTCCTCCTCGTATCCACATTAATCATGGTGGTCTGTCGCCACCTCTCTCTCACTCTCTCTCTATCATATATCATACCCATATCCAACACTCCACATAGCGACGTATGCTTGCATTTGCACAGTCATCGAAGCATTAATTCTCCCAGGCTCCTCCTATTGAACATGTACCAATGCTCCCAAAAACTCACCACTAAGAAAAATGAAACCTTCTAAGAATGTCAAGTAACAACAAACAAAACTAACAAGTAACAAAAACCTTAAATTTAATTGAATTATATTAATTGATTTTATATTTTATTTAGGTTTGAAGGCAAAGGTGATTACTTTGTCTTCAAAGACCCTCTTAACCAATGTGCATTCATCTTTACGTGCACATTTCCCTTTTCAATTATTTTGCATTAGCAAACAAATATAAAGAGAGAAGAAAAAAGAGAGAAAAGGGTGGCAGCAAACTACCATAAATAGTGTGAATTTGAAGAGGGAAAAAAGAGAGAGAGAGAGAGAGTGAAAGGGAGGTGTGAAATGATGTTTTAACTTTCACATATCATTTAACAATAAAAGTTGATGTTTTTCAAGTATTTGTTAATAACAAAGACTTAAATGCATGATAGATTAATATGTAAAAAGTGTGAATATCATTTTTTATTCTTCTCTGTTCTTTTGTTGATCTCAAGTTTTTAAAAATAGAATAAAAACAAGTTTTCTTAGGGAGAGAGTAAATTTTTTTAAAAAGAGAGAATATCAAAAAAATAAAAAAAAACAAATGCTTTCAAAAGAAAGAATATTAAGAAGAAGAAATCAAGGATCGAAAGTTAAAGAGAAAAAAAGGAAAAATTATTATTTTTGTTATCTCCACCTTCCTCTGTTGTGATCAAATATTTCTTTTTTCATTGTGAGTATAAAACACGCATTTTCTTGTGGCTGTAAGGTTTAAAATTTTTGTTTGATGAATATGGATATAAAATAAAGAGAGAAGGCTAAAAAACTAAACTTAGTCATACGATTTTTGCTAAGTGTAGATTTGTGAAATAAGACAAAGAAAGAAGCTACACTTAGTTATATGATTATTTTTATTTATTTATTTATTTATTAAAAAATTAACATAAACAAAAGTGGAAGGCTATAGATGCTAAGCAATGTGCACCTTTCTTATATATCACTCAACACCTACCCTGAATATGTTGCACACATGTAAAGTCTGTAAGCCCTTTCAAATCAATGAAATCATGTTTTTTTTTAATATTTTATAATAGATATTAAGTGAAAAATAGAAAAGTAAAGAAAATTAAAGGAGGGCAACCTGACTTTTTTATATATATTAATATTATTATTATTTATTAGTCAAGTTTATTTTTATTTTTATTTTTTATTATTACTTTTTTGCCCATTTTTTTTTTATAAAAAATGAGTTCTTATTTTTATTTATCTCATATTTTATTTATGTTAAATAAAATATTTTACTCTTTATTTTTTTTATTTTATCATTTAGTTTTCTTAACCTCATTTATTAATTTTTCTAAACAATAATAATTAGGATAGTAATAAGGAATGATTACAATTGATTTAATCATATTTTTTTATATTATTCTATTGTTTACATTTTAATAATTTATTTATATTATTTAGTATTATTATCTTTATTGTACTATATAATTTTAAATATTTGATGATGAACAAATTTTATTTTTAATTTAATTTTAAATAAATAATATAATATTTGCATTGATTAATAACATTAATGTGTAGTTACTCGATCATTATGTGTTATAAATTGATAAATCTTACTTGTACTAACATTAGCTTAGGTTTTATATAATAAAAATCTATCAAACAAAATTTAATCTTTTTATTAAATAATAATAATAATAATAAAATTTTTATTACAATATATTTATTCATTTTATTAATAGAATTAATTTTATATTTTAAATTTTCTTAAGTTATATTTCTAATTTCGATGAATTAAATAACCAAATATTGGATTTTTTTTATTATACAAAATTTTTACAACATCATGTGCAATTTACATTACCTACATTTGGCCAATAAATTATAAGAGATTTATGTATAACTTATACTATCTTAAATTTTCTTTCAATATAAATATTCAAATTTAAGTATAAATTTAAAATTTTACATTTTCAAATATAAATATTTTTTTATTTTTAAATTATTTTTAACGATTTACAAGATAGTTGTGTGATTTTTCTTTGTTCTTATATTGTTTATCGTAGAGTACATGTATAATCGCGTTATCTTGTATATTAAATATTATATCTTATAAAATAATTTTAATCTAAAAAATAAACATTCTTTTACTTGACCAATCTGAACACTAAAATTTTGATATAAAAATTTTGATTTTAAAAAAAAAATCTGAATTTTAAAAGGAAAATGGAATCAAAGGGTTTTAAAGAAAAAATAAAAATTTGTCTTAATAAAATAGGAAAAAATTTAAAATTAATTTTTAAAAAGAAAATAGAATATGACAAATAATGAAACTCTTGAACCAATGCTACTTTATACATAAAAAATAAAAAATTCAGAACCATGGAGTAAGGTGG